TATAACTTTTTAAGTACAAATTCTTTAAGTTCTTTGACGAAACAAAATATAATAATATAGAAAACTTAAAGAAAGAGTTATGCGTGTGTTCTTAGTATTTTAATTTTTGTTGTTATTTACTTAGAATATCGACAATTAAAATATGATATGCTAATATGTAATATAATAGCTGTCTTGATCAAATGAGCGAATTAATTGTAATCTTATGACTACATTTGTTGTATGAAAAAATATTCCTGTTACTCACGGAATGTGGCCAATCTAATGGAACTTGCAAAGGCACTAATATTTTACTAAAGAATGTTAGAGAATGAAGGAATGAAGAGAATTACTTACATGTTGCGAACTAATGAAAATGAATTTGTTAATCAATGAATGTTACTATGTTATTACAAAAATTATATAGCAAAGATCAGACTTATATAATGGAAAATTGCCAAATTAAACAAATCTTCAGATATATAGATAAATAGATAGATGGATGAATAGGTAGATAGAGATAGAGAGAGAGAGAGAGAGAGAGAGAAGGAGAGAATGAATTTATAGTAGCTCGATTCATCTTCTTATTAACATTGTTCACTACATGAATTTGTATAGACACCTAATATTTGATATTTACCAAATTTAATTATAATCAAAGTATTGAAAGAAAAAAAGAAGAAAACAATAGGAAACTACAACAAAAAAAGCAGAATTAAAATTTGTACGAATCCTTGTGCTGGCATTCTTTTTAACTAGCAAAATTAAGACTGAATTATGTTAACTATAAGTTATCAGCATTGCAACTAGTCCTTTTGAACTTTTAATCTTTCAATTGGGCTGCAATATTCTTAGATTCTCTCTTTTTCTGTTTCATTTTTTTTCTATTCTATTGTATTGTTCTACAAAATATTTTACAATATAATATTGTATATTTTGATATATTGTTTTTAATTAAATTTAATTAATTTTTTAATTAAATCTGTTTTTAATTATTTTTATTTCTGATAATATATTGTAAAGTTTATAAATATATATTGAAGAAAGTTTTATATGTACGTAGCTCTTAGTAATTATTATTTAGATTTAAAAATATTAATATAAACTAAATTACTTTTGTATTTCTATATTGTATACAATATTTAGAAATGTATAGCTTCCATATTTGAGTAAACTACTCGTAGTTTTTAAAAATTATCTGTAAATTTGAAGGATTGTTGTATATATCCGATTATATCCGTATATATCCGATTATATCCGTATATATCCGATATAGTCGTATATATCCGATAATATATGGTATCAAATATCTTAAGCTAAAAAATCTATTGATAATTTAATCTTTCAAATATATCGACTTAATGCAATATGTAAATATATTCTATCATTGATTAATTTTTATCTCAAATTGTATATTACTTATTCTGTTTTATCTACTCGTCATTATTTTATACCTAATTTTTTTTTTAGCCTTTTAAACTAGTTTCTTTGACTCCTCTCACGTACACATGTATACTCTATGCAATGTTTTTTCACATTCCATCGTGACGTGCTCATATATGATATTCCGTTATGAAAATAAAATGGAATATAACATTATCGAAGGCCGGTTTTAAGCATTTTATTATATTGACGGGAGATCTGATGGCGAATACCACGGAGGCAGCCACAGTTGAAGTATAGTAGAAGCTATTTCTGTCCGCTCACCCAGTCGGATCAAACCTCCTCGTGCAAAGTAGCAAACGGTAGCAAGTGATTATTAGGAGTACAGTTGAAGTGGCCGCGCCTTTAGATATCATAAAATAATGATGCGATAGGTTGATATAGATAGATAGATAGATAGATAGGTAGATATATAGATGTAGATAGATAGATATAGATGGATAGATAAATAGATATAGATAGATAGATAAATAAAAGAAATGGATAGAAAGAAAGGCTAAGTAAAAAGAAAAGTGAAGTGAAAAGATAGAGTAGCAATTTTGTTTTTCATAAGATTTGAATTGGATTATTACGATTCTTGAATATGAATTTAATGTTAATATAACTTAGATACAAATCTGCATTTACATATCAATCTTTTTCTTTTACAAATATAAAAACGGAAAAATTAAATTAAAGATAAAAGTGATTTATCTTTTTAAAAACATTTTCATGAGTTATCCTCATAGTTATAAGAACTTTCGAATTTATCTACAGCTAATACGAGAATATTTAAATAAATTTAATATTTATTTAATTAATAGTTTTAAAAACATGGTACAAATTGTGTTGGCAAATTACAGAATAAGTAACAATTATAATTTTAATATGAAAGTCGACGATCTTTGATCGAAGTGATTTATCAATTTATAAAAGTAAGTATAATTTTATTCAATTATTAAAAAAAACTTTTACAAATTTTTAAACGGGATAATCTATAAAAAAAAGAAATATGAAAATAAAAGAACAACATTGTGAAGAAGCTTTTATTCTATGTTAGTTAGAAATTAATAATATTTCAAAGCGCTATTTATATTTTATATTTATATAAACGCTATTATATTTATATAACAAAGCGCTATTATATTCATATAAACAATACTATTTTCATAACTATCCCTGTTTATTTCCAATAATAATACAATTTTCTTTTAAATGTTGATATATACTTTTTGTTAAAATAAATAATGGAACAAGTCTTAATTAGCTTAATTATTAATTATTAAGTATTAATAATTAATTAAAAAATAAAATATAGTTTCATGATTTTAAGTTGGAGCATAGCAAAATCTGTAAACATGTTTATGTAATGTGTATTATGCATTATATAATAAGTAATCTAGACGTTATAAATAAACTAAATAAATTTATAAATGAGTATTGCCTACATTTATCATAAAATCTACTCATAATTTTAGATCTCAAGGTTTATATTTCATAGCTTTAGAACAATTATCTGGCATTAATCTCTTAACACGAATAGTAATTATTTATATAAAATTCAGTTTCGTATATTGTCTTTTAAAATTATGGTGGATAAATTTGTATATTATTTATATGTAATTACAAAATATATCCTATTCATTAATTAATAATAAGATATATTTAATTAGCTTAACTATTATATAAATAATTAATTGATATTGCGTAGAAAATAAATTAGACATGATTTATAATATTTTTTATGTCTTAAAATTTTGAAAAAGTCAGTCAATTTTGTAAAAATTACATATACTTATATAAAATTTGTATTATTAATATAATGTTTTGGTGTTTTACAATTCTACTTAAAATGATGTTTTCTTGCTTTTTACTTTATTAGAATTAAATATAACAACAAATTCTATATAGATAATTACCTAAGAAATATAATTACTAAAAAAACAGTTATCAATTAAATAAAATCATTGTAATGAAGATAATAGAATATTATAAATAATAAATAGATATAAATAGATAATATATACCAAATAAATTAAAATAGAAAAATAGAAAAAATATTAAATAAACTATAAACATCTCATTTTCTCATTTATTTTATGTGATCACTTTTTACTTTTATTTTCAATTGACTTCTTAGTTTTTCCCTTTCATCAGGATTAAAATTATATAGGTTTGTGCCTATGTACGTTTTCTTGTCTACAGACTCTTTATTCGCTTCGCTTAACCTCCGCACGCTTCTTTATACGGATATATTTTTTCACGTTCATTCTATTCTATCTTCTCCGTCTATCTTATACAATTACTCATTTTTTAATAGCAATATATAAAACGATTTAAAAAAAGAATGAAAGTAAATTAAAGACAAATGTTCGTTCTTCTCTTTGAAAAAAAAAATGGTAATGAAATATAAAAAAGGAAAATGAGAATGAAAGAAATTACGTGAATGCATATTCACCTACTGTATAGTCAGTCGCTTTATTTGTTCACATACGTGCACGCACACAGGAAAACGATTGGTAAACTCTGTCTTACTCTCTCTTTCGAAGTAAGTTCTGACTTGTAAGAAGAAATCGAAAGAAGCCGAAGTGCAACGAAATCTACCGAGGGTACACCGTAAGCCGGTTGTCGCATAAGTCGGTGCTCTTAGCCGTCAGATGTTAGTAGTGAGAACTGTGCGTCGCGAGGCTTAATTCGCCGCTCCACCATAGTCGTCTGTTGTCCTACCATTCCACTATCCCTACTACTTGCCTACTTGTGGAGTGCTACTCATATGTTGGAGAGAAATAACAGATAAAGACGAGGAAATTGGATGAGGATACAAAACAGAAAGAATGAAGGAATGATAGATAGATGGATAGATGGATGGATGGATCGATAAATAGATCGATAGATGATAGATAGATAGATAAAGAGAGAGAGAGAGAGAGAGAGAGAGAGAGAGAGTGAGTGAGGTACTGTGTGTGTGTGCGCGCGCGAAAAAGGGAAAGACAGACGGAGAGGGGACTAGAATGAGAAAAGGAGAGAACGAGGACATACTATCGCGTCAGTTCTCGCTCGTGCTAGTTCGTCGCTCAATGCGAGACGGAGCAGTTTGAATGAGAGTTAGATTAACATTAATCACGGTTAGTAAAATGAATAAAATGTTTTTAAAAAAATATGCAAGATCTTAACAGAGTTCGATTTTAATATTTAAATTTTTAATTAAATTTAAGCTTTTTAAAATTATTTTTAATATCCTGTCGCGCGTGAATTGGAGCCTTAAAGTGCTTTAGTGTTAAATTTTATTTCATAAACATTACCATAAAACATATATATACAAAATACGTGCTCGAAATGTATGATGCATGCAATATTTAGACACTTTTAATACGCACATGTGAATGCACATATGCACTTACACAAGTGCACAACAATATATTTATCCGTATACTTTTTTCCAATGCATGTGTTTGTATATATATGTAATATGTAACATATAAATACATATGTATATGTGTGTGTGTGTATATATATATATATATATACATACATACATACATACATATTCACGTAGGCGTATTCACGCGAGTGTACTTATATTTAAATACTACCGGTAATATCTTGATATTATAGAAGAAAAGTGATGTATAATTAAAAGGTTTTTCTTCTTAAATTTTGACAATTTGTGGACATTTAAGCATTTTTCTCTTTGGATCACAGGATATACCATTTTTACTATCTTGGGTGAGTTATTTTATATTCAAGTTTTTTCAAGATTTAAAATCTTTTAATATTTCTTGTAAACAAACATGATTAATATTGTTTAATAAATTTACAAATTTAAATAAATTTAGTTTAAAAAGTGTACATATGTTAGTAGATTTAAGCAGTAAATTCTTCTATAACTAAACAAATTTTGTATCATTATATTAAATTATCGAATCGTATCAAATACGAAGAATCAATTACAACTGTAATTAGATACATTATTTTGCAATAGTAAATAAATTTTTAAACATAAAACTATACGTAAAATGGAAGTTGGTTTTGTACATGTGTAATTAATTATTATAAGAAATATAATTACATTTATGTCAATGCTATATTTTCTAGGATATTAAACTATCTCAATCTAAAAAGAAATTAAGTGAAACGTATGAAAGTAATTGAGAGTCAGAGATATTAAACTAAAAAAGAATACTTATGATCATATTGTATGTATATGATCTCTGCATATATATTCTATGATACGCTAACCCTGCGACATTGACAATGGATTTATATAAGGGTCGCTTATATATTTGTTATAGAAATAACTATTATTTTTATTTAAACAATATTTTGATTATATTTGAGTAAACTGAAAAACTTATTTATATTTAATTATCGGAAGATATTCAATTTAAAAGTAATTCTATTAGTTTGATAAAAATATCTGTTCGTACCAAAAGTCATTTCAACGCAATTCGCTTTCGTAAAAAAATATTTACACACTAAAATTTGTTTAATTATATACCATTTGGATTAATCAATAATAATATTGTATAAATAAATAATAATATTGTATAAAAAAGAATAATAAATTTTTATGTAAATAAAAAAATTTTTGTTAATTTATATTCAGAAATAAATTATATTTACTGTTTTACATAAAATAAAAAATAGAATTTTTGGAATTTATTAGGATAAATTTAATTTAAATCTAATTCTTATATATAAATATTATTCTCTTTATTTTAATATAATCATAAATATAAAATAAAAATAGTAATATTTGATTGAAGCCAAGAATATTTATATTCTTACTAGTAATATATTTTTCATACAAAATTATTACAATTTTATATTTGCGTATTGCAATTTTTTTTAAATGTACAAGATTATTTTGCAATTACATTAATATCTTTTTAAGAATTATTATATTATATATTTCGATAATATTCTATTTAATAATCTTATTCTATCATATAATATTCTATCATAAAAATGATAGAATAATCAATAAAAAATTACTTAACTATTTAAAACCATTTTTTATAATAAATATAAATGCTAGTTAATTCGAAATAAGTTTACTTTTAGAATCTTATAGATTTTTACAACAATATTTAAATGTTTGCGATACAATTTGTGACAAAGTGCACTTATAAATTATACTGTATATTACCTGCTATTATGAAAAAATATATCTATATAAAATTAATGGCTGATACAAAAAATTTGTCAATATATAAATAATACAATTATCATACAATACACTTATTGAAAACGCCATTATATGTGATGTAATATTAATATTCATTTTTGCATCACAATAATGAGCTAAAAATAATTTCATTAAAGGACTTTAAATAATAAGAATTCAATTTAACTCAACAACTGATCTTGTTAGATACAGTTTGATATTTGGTTCAGTAAAACTAATAATTATGTTTTTCTCTAATTTTCTTGATTGTCAAGGAAGCAATAAAAAATAATTTCGAATAAAAATCTCGTAATTCAATATTAAATAATAAATAGAAATTTATCTTTATTCAATTTTATTAATAAATAAAATTTTATGTATATAAGTGCATATTCGGCATTCTACATTTAAATCATTAATACAGAAAAACGTATAACAGATATTTTTTTTAAATAATTTATCATGGCATACATTTGAAATATTACAAAATAAAATTCATACCAATTTCTAATTTGATTAATATATTAATCAAATGAACAATAAAGTAAAAAAAATCGAAAGATAATTTATATATACATAATTAATTCTGCATTATAATAGAAGCTGAATTTGATTATAATAACATTATACCTCGTTTTATATTTTCGAAAACGATTTCTGATTAATTAAAAAATAAATATAAAGATTTATTTCAAGAAGTAAGAAGTATTAAAATTATAAATGACTTATTACTAATACACTGATCAAGACAGATTATTATTGAGTTAAACAGTTGTTTAATTTTTTTAGTAAAAATTAAACATAACGAGGATACAATTTGTCCTTTTAACTCACAAGCCCAACAACATAAATAAACTGCTATTCTGATGTTTTTACAAAGTAATTATTTATTTGCGTTTTACATGATTTATTTGACACGTTTTATTGATTCGTACATTTTATTAAATGTAATTGCACATCATATCTCTAAAAAAGAAATTTAATTATTGAATTAACATAAATAGATCTTTAAAATAAGACTCATTGATAATATAGAATATAGAAATAGAAAATGATATATTGTATTTGCATTATAAATATGTGTACTTTCGTGTTCTATTTAATAAATATACCATATTTAGTAAAATTAAAGGAAAATCTATATAAGTCTTTGTTTAAATATAAATTTTATGAACATAATAATATATTAATAAATTTTTTCTAAATTTAATTTTTAATACTGTATGGTTCAAATTATATTAATTAATAATAATATTAATATATGAAAACCCTTGTATAAATTTTACTAAGAAATATTCTCTATTAAAACCAAATCTGTAATTAACTTAGTATAATTAACATTAATGCATTTAAAATATGAAAAATTAGAATATATAGTATTACATTTACTAGTAAATTTGTATTGTAATATGTTCTTTTAATTTTTATAAATACTTTATGTATTTATGATACTTTTGTATACATCATTTCTCTTTCATACATATAAATATAATATTTTATGTTAGCAAAATTAGTAAATAATATTATATGTTAAGCATCTGAAATTGCTGTGAAAATAGTATATTCATTTCTCTTAACACTAAATTAACGAAAATCTCATTTATGATCTAATATTTAACGAATATTCAGCACAAAATAAAATATTAAGAATCCTTCCCATACAGCGATTCTTGATTTAGCTATAAAATCATACAATATACTTATTGCTGGTAGTTATCGTTATCATAAAATCATAATACTAATCGACAAATTGTATTCTCTAGTAGTAGTATATACTCCCATCTTCCTCTTGCATGCCCATCTCTTATTATATATTTTAATACTTAGGATATAATTTTTGCTGAGCTTGATAGTATTTTCTTTGCTTAATAATATTTGATCATTTATTTAGTTATTGAAATTTTGCATTCCTCTTGATAAAAAATTTCCTATCATACTTTTCTAAAAAACTATTCCAAGTTATAAATATATCATGTCTGACGAATTATATATGAGTTATAGGAAGTTTGTTACACGGATAAATTTTTATTTTGTGTGTTTTAATTTACGCTAATATTATATACTGTAAACATAACTTTTTTGTATATAGTTTTTCTTATATTTTTACATTGTAATGAAATAACAAAGAAGTTTATATTTGTGTTTCATTAAATTTTTATAATATAGTTTTATAATAAATAAAAATTACATATAACAAAGTAAAATATGAGAAAGTTAAAGTTAGGATGGTTAGAAAAAAAAAAATGAAATGAAAACATTTGAACAAAATTTTGATATAATTAGTAGAACATCTAACATGTTCCAAATTAATAATCAATGAAATTATTAGTATTTTTTTCTGGAAAGTAGTTGATATCTATCGATGAGGTATAATGAAAAGAAAATATGAAATATTAATTACCGAAACAGTGTGTATAATTTATTTTTATGATGTTAATAATTATCTATTGAAGTTTCAAAAATTATATTTATAATACATTATCATATACTCACGTAGTATATTTTTAATTTTATTATTATATTATATAAATGAGTTTCGACAAATTTATAATTAAAAAATTTTCATATTAAATTTATCAATGTGATAATAACATTTCATATAATAATTTAGAAAATACGTAATCTGTATTAAAATTTAGCAAATTACATTGCTACATGAATTAAAATATTTAAATAAACAAATATTTTCAAATATTGATTGTAACAAAAATTATAAAATGAATTCAAATGTTATATAAACTGGTAAATTATATTATACAAGTTAATAAATTTTTGTTTACAAAATTATCGTTAAAATACATTCTATTATATGGTTATTAATATAAATATAAATAATTATACAATATTTTAAATAATTTTGTTAATAAATAAATACTTTAAAAATTAATTATTGAAGAATTCAAATATATCTTAAGATCTATATTTTTAGCCAAAATAAAAATTTTAGTCATTGTAGATTTGATAAATATAATAGCCATCTAATTTTTTAAAACATATTTAACATATTTTTATATATGTTTCAAATTCAATTGTATTTTTGTACATTCAATTTATTTTATTTATCGGTTTACTGTTTTTGATATATTATTTTTGTTTTTTGTTTTTTTTTTAATAGTTTTACAATAATAATATTTAAATTTAAAAAGCTGCTTTTATATATAATAATAATAATAATATAAATAATAAAATTAATAAGAGAAGATAAAGCGTGATTATTAAACTTGCAGAGTTATTGAAAAATAAGACAATATTATTTACAAAGCTTTATCAAATATTTATATTCCTATATTTATTATTATAAAATAAAATTACAAATTTGGTTATTATTTTTAAAGAATATTTTTGATTGAAAAATAATTTAGAATATTAATTGATTATATGTTATTAACTGTGGTAAGAATATTTTAATTCTAGCAAATGGTATATTTGCTTATGAGATTATTTTTTGCATAATTATAAAATTAATACTTAACTTGAAACAATATTGTCGATTGAGTTGAATTATTTGCGCATAAATAAAATATAAATAAATGCGTATAATATTTCAAAAAATAAAAAA